ATTACTTGCATGTTTGAGCAATTTCTGGTTTGCAAATTCCATACTTAGTTTGGTATAATTCCATACTTAGCTTTCTAATGTAATAAAATTATAAACTGAAGGCATGAAAGCACAATACAATATTAATTTGCCATAATGCATTTATGTCCCACAAAGGCCGTTCAGGGTAGGAGAGAGCATCTTCTGGGGTTAGTTCTCCTATGGGAAATTGACATTTTATAATTGTCCATGCCCAGTTCTTTGTGAAAAGACAATCCTGTTATGGAAGCCATTTTATTATTATTATTTGTACCACATGTTCCCAAATATTCAGGTGTATCTCTAGCCACAAAGTTTGTCTTCTTTTGATTTAAGATGTTCAACAAATCTAGCATCATTTTTTTTATTTCCTATATCCTCAGTACACTAGTCCTCAATGATATCTCAAAAGGATCCCCCAGCTAAGAACATTTTATTCAATGTGGAGGATTTATTGAATAAAGAGATTTACACGCATGTGTACATGCATGTACACATACAAAAGCAAAACCAGAAAGAAGGAGCAAACCTCTTAAAAGATATTCCAAGGCATTATTTTAAGTCCTATGTAACATGTATGCGGCCAAGGTGCTTTTCCAAAAGGCAACTGGAGTTTCTTGGTTTTTTTCCTTGAAACATTTCGCTTTCAAGAACAGAAGCAATCCATTTTCAAGGGAAAAAAACCAAGACAGTCCAATTCCTTTTAGGAAAAGCTCCTTGGGGACAGCCATGACCTAGATGATTGAGAATATCCATAGACATGAAGATAATATAATATAAAAGAGTGGAAAATGGAAGCGCACAATTTTTGTTTTCTGCATGAATTCCTTTGGGATCTGGTGTTTTGCTCTTCAGCTGATAACATCACAGATATTAATAGAGCAGTAGAATCAGGTATATAAAGTAAGCCATATCCAAGAAGCCATATTCAGTTGCAAACATAAACTCTGTAATTTAGGTACATTTCCTGTTAATTTAGTAGTATATGCTTGGTAGAAATATGTACTCAATTATCATATAAAGAAGTAAGATAGTGAGTGTAATGACATACAGAAATTCATGGCCAGAAGTATTAGCTGTATAGTGCTGAAATGGCCTAAAATTCTACCTTATTTATCTCCTACGTGCTGATTAAAAGTTGGTCCTCCAATGCATGATCACCATTTTAAAGCCGACAGCGTCAGTAATGTAGTATGACTATTTGTTGTACTATGCAGGCAGCATATTGCTTGGTGTTTGTGTATATCTGTTTAGTACAATTTTAATTTCTAAACTACGAGTTCATATGGAAGGGTTTGTAAATGACATTTAAACATTTAAATATGTTTTGTGTGTACAATAAGTGTTAAATCAGGTCTTATTGTCTTCTGCAAATGCCAAAAAGTCAAATTCTATTAGCAATAAATACACTGCTCAAAAAAATAAAGAAAACACAAAAATAAGACATCCTAGATCTGAATGAATGAAATATTCTTATTAAATACTTTGTTCATTACATAGTTGAACGTGCTGACAACAAAATCACACAAAAATTATCAATGGAAATCAAATTTAGCAACCCATGGAGGTCTGGATTTGGAGTTACACTCAAAATTAAAGTGGAAAAAAACACTACACGCTGATCCAACTTTGATGTAATGTCCTTAAAACAAGTCAAAATGAGGCTCAGTAGTGTGTGTGGCCTCCACGTGCCTGTATGACCTCCCTACATTGCCTGGGCATGCTCCTGATGAGGTGGTGGATGGTCTCCTGAGGGCTCTCTTTTCATACCTGGACTAAAGCATTCCCCAACTCCTGGACAGTCTGTGGTGCAACGTGGCATTGGTGGATGGAGCGAAACATGATGTCCCAGATGTGCTCAATTGGATTCAGGTCTGGGGAACAGGCAGGCCAGTCTATAGCATCAATGCCTTGTCGTGCAGGAACTGCTGACACACTGCAGCCACATGACGTCTAGCATTGTCGTGCATTAGGAGGAACCCAGGGCCAACCGCCCCAGCATATGGTCTCAGAAGGGGTCTGAGGATCTCATCTCAGTACCTAATGCAGTCAAGCTACCTCTGGCGAGCACATGGAGGGCTGTGCGGCCCCCTAAAGAAATGCCACCACACACCATTACTGACCCACTGCCAAACCGGTCATGCTGGAGGATGTTGCAGGCAGCAGAACATTCTCCATGGCGTCTCCAGACCCTGTCACGTCTGTCACGTGCTCAGTGTGAACCTGCTTTCATCTGTGAAGAGCACAGGGCACCAGTAGCAAATTTTCCAATCTTGGTGTTCTCTGGCAAATGTCAAACATCCTGCACAGTGTTGGGCTATAAGCACAACCCCCACCTGTGGACGTCGGGCCCTCATACCACCTTCATGGAGTCTGTTTCTGACCGTTTGAGCAGCCACATGCACATTTGTGGCCCACTGGAGGTCATTTTGCAGGGCTCTGGCATTGCTCCTCCTGTCTCTCCTTGCACAAAGGCGGAGGTAGCGGTCCTGATGCTGGGTTGTTGCTCTCCTACGGCCTCCTCCATGTCTCCTGATGTACTGGCCTGTCTCCTGGTAGCGCCTCCATGCTCTGAACACTATACTGACAGACACAGCAAACCTTCTTGCCACAGCTCGCACTGATGTGCCATCCTGGATGAGCTGCACTACCTGAGCCACTTGTGTGGGTTGTAGACTCTGTGTCATGCTACCACTAGAGTGAAAGCACCACCAGCATTCAAAAGTGACCAAACCATCAGCCAGAAAGCATAGGAACTAAGAAGTGGTCTGTGGTCACCCCCTGCAGAACCACTCCTTTATTGGGGATGTCTTGCTAACTGCCTATGCTTTCCACCTGTTGTCTATTCCATTTGCACAACAGCATGTGAAATTGATTGTCAATCAGTGTTGCTACCTAAGTGGACAGTTTGATTTCACAGAAGTGTGATTGACTTGGAGTTACATTGTGTTGCTTAAGTGTTCCCTTTATTTTTTTGAGCAGTGTATATTGCTGTTTTTATTAAAGACTTTTGAAGATGCTTAAAGAACAACCTTGCCAAAATATTTGTTCAAACAACTTTTTAGAATTCAAAACATCAGGAAACATGGTTTCAGTCTGCTCAGCTAATACAAGCCCCTCAATATTCTGGTTCTAGCTGTACTATCCTTCAGCAGGAGAGCAACTAATGCAAGCTTGTTTGTAACTTAGCTCTCATGCTGGATGGATTACAATTAACAAACTGTAGTTTGCACACTCCATTCATGCCTCTTTCTGTCATTCAGTGTTTGCTTGCTTGCTTGCTTTTTTTGTTCAATTTTTGTCTTGCCTTTTTGCCTGCAGGACATTTCAGGTGATAAATTCTACAATACAGTGTTTATAAAAATTAAACACTACAATTATAAACAAAATTAAAATCTATTACATAAAAAATAAAGTATTTTGTTTAAAAAAAAAGAAAAGAAAGGGTGATTAATATTAAATGGAAAACACAGAGCAGAAGTTAGATTTGACAAATTTCCAAGAGGGCTTCTCCACCCATTCACTCAAATTAAGTGGTTGCACACATCTTAAACCAAGAATTAAACCTTTAGATTTTTTTTTTAAACTTAGTTATAGGAAATAATATAAAAATGCAGCCAGCATATCTGTCAGCAATAGGACTTACTCTAAAAATACCCCTCTTTTTTGCATCGTTTCTGTCATTGTTACTATATTTCAAAAACATTTTTGTCTGCATGATTCCATGTCTATTTAGTTCCTAGCCAATATGAGATTTCATTTAACAGCAGAAGATATAGAAACATTTAAATTAAATTAATAAATTATAATCTGTCTCTCTTGCTGAGTTCTTCAGATAATAGCTAACAAAACAATTATTAAAAATCTGTTTTCATTTCTGAAGACTCAGCAAGGCGAAGCCAAGAAATGTTGCTGAGCCTTCACACTGGGTCAGGACAAGAATACAGTCTTCTGCTTAGCACATGTGTTTTTCAGGAAAGGAGTGCAATAAATTGAATTGCTAGGAAAGTCACTGCTTAAACTAAAACATTGCTCTTTTAAAGCCACTTACATATTGTGAAGAGGGAAAGAAATGGCATTTATATACAATTAATCATAGTCACAATATTGCATTAAATTCAAGGTGCTCTTTGATGCATGGTATATATTAGTTATTTTATAGAGATTAAAATCTCTTGTTTTCTTAAAAGTTTAGGTAAGGCGTATTTTATCAGATATAAATATAATCACTAGATCTTTAAGAAAAAATGCTAACATCCTTTAGACAATGGCTGAGTAGAGTTACATAGGTCGGGCTTTTTTTAAAGAGGTTCTGATGATTTGGTGATCTGGGAAACATTTATTTCAGCTTACATGTAATGCATTTCTTCTATTTAAAATCTTTTAAATGCTATTATCTTGAATTAAGAACTAGGTCATTTTACCGGTGCATGTTAAGAGACGCTGTATAGAGTAACCCTAAATTAATCAACCTCTATTACAAATGCCTCTTTCCTTCTTGAACAGTAATATAAGATCTTTATGTAATTTTGGATCCTTTCCTATAAGTTGCATGTCATCTGTGTATCACCAAATGCATGCTGTCAAAGATACTGATTTTTTTCTCGTTTCCCCTCCTCTCTGGAAATTGAATAATTTTAAGTGCTTTTTATTTTCTTTTTTTAAGTGAACATTAATATTTACTTCGTTTCAGCTAAGTTTATAATATAAATAATTGCTAAATTCCAGTTGTTCTTTTATGCTTTGATTAATAGAAAAGCATATTTGTGTAGCATTTTGTAAATGTGTTCAATTTTATTTTGCACTATAATAATTTAAAATTTATTTTTTAAAACTGTTGTCCCCCCCACCCCACCCCACTACTACTACCTGGGGATGTAAGGTTTGTACCATATAAAATGCTAGTTTGCATGCATTCATTTAAATACTAAAAACTGTAGTACTGCTCGATCCATATCTGACTGCTAGGTTTCAATTGACAGCTGAGGATATGTGACTGGACCATGAATCAAAACGGCAGGCATTTATACCCCAGTGCCAATGAGGATACATTGGGAATTACTTGGCAAAGGTAAAATTTTAATTATTTCCACACCTAAACTATCTTGGATTCTTCGTTATCTGTATAAGTTAGCTTCCAGGATTAAATTTGTCAAATTTTTAACTATAAAATATCTAACATCTTTTGAATTACATGTTTAGGTCAAATGAACATTATATTATCGTTAAGCACTTATTACTGATACACTGTCAAGTATAAAACTGTGTGAAGAAAGCAACATAGCAAAAATGGATAGGTAGTTTGAAATTTATATTGATATTATTTTATATTAAGAAGTGGTTTTAGGAATAACATACATGACAAGAATGGGTATTAGGTAATACATAGGAATAATACCCAAAGGAACTATTTGAGAAATCACATGGATAGAATTTATGAATTTAGGAAATGTTCTCTGAGGTAAGATAAAACTGTGTCTTATATTTAACTACACTTAACTAGTTTTCCCTTTCATAAAATTACTTTGAGAGTAAGTAAAGTGAAACTGCTATTTTGAAATAGATTCTGATGGGAAACATTTTAACATGGTAGTTGATATGTGTAATTAAGTAATTATGAATCTTTACAGAATTGCTTCTGATTCAATTTTATAATGTCATGAAAAAATATTATTTTCTATTTCTTTCCCTTTTCCTCAAAATATCATTCCAGATAATTCCCCAAATACAAGAGTAAATGCTTGGAGAGTTTTAGGAGATGAAGTGTAACGGGATGAAAAGAGTGATTGACAAATGGAATCTTAGGCACATTCACTCTCTTCAGTGCACGCACACAATCATACATACATGCACACACATATAAAAATCAATTTTCCTTCTCATTTTATACTAAAAGCTGTGAAGTAAAAGTATGAAGTCCTTCCTCCTAATTCCCTTATCCTCTGTTACAGTCCTAGAAATTATCACTCATACAGTATTTTAATGGACTTTCTAACTTGAATACAGGTAGTCCTCAAACTTATGACCACAATTGAGCCCAAAATTTGTTAAGTAAGTTCTGCCCCATTTTACAATATTTCTTGCCACAGTTGTTAAGTGAATTCCTGCAGTTGTTAAGTTAGTAACATGGTTGTTAAGTGAAACTGGCTTCCCCCATTGATTTTCCTAGTCAGAAAGGTCACAAAAAGTGATCACATGATTCTGGGACATTGTAATCGTCATAAATACATACCAGTTGCCAAGGGTCCAAATTTTGATCACATGAATGTGGGGATACTGCAATGGTCTTAAGTGTGAAAAACGGTCAAAAGTAACTTTTTAAAATGCCATTGTAACTTTAGTCACTAAACAAATGGTTTTAAATTGAAGACTACCTGTATATAATTGTTTATTATTGCCCATTATTGTATTTAAGAACTGATAAATCTGAATAGACTGGATTGTTTGGCTTACCATACAATGTAAATAGAAAATGATCTCCATAGGTTCATTTCAACCAATATCTTGTCTTGAAATATTTATGTCTCGTGCTTACTTTTGTTCTGAAAACTTTTTTAAGGAAACATTTTATAGCTACTCTTTGAACTGCCTTAAATGTCCATTTCAGAGGTGGTATTCAGCAGGTTCTGACCAGATCTGGAAAAACGGTAGTGGAAATTTTGAGTAGTTCGGAGAACCAGCAAATATCACTTCTGACTGGAGATTTTACAGTATCCTTCCCCTGCCACGCCCACCAAGCCACACCCACAGAACCGGTATTAAAAAATTTGAATCCCACCACTGGTCCATTTGTTCTCTTTCACATATTAAATTTAACACATTTCTAATTTATATATTTTGTTTTCTTACATTCAGTTGAGATTATGTACATTTTCATCATCACCACTGTCACAGTTAATCTTTAATCCCTCCAAAACATAGTTTTGGGGAAAAAAATCTTGGTTAAATATTCCACGTTCTGTAAATTCTGGTTCTTCAAATTATTGTAACTGATTTTGTAAATACCTGCATGAGAAAGAGTGTAATCCAAATGTATTAAAATGTTTTATGACTAGTACATGAACTATTAATAGGACTAGGAACATGTTGGATTCAAATCCGTCATACCGCCAGTCTAGATGGAGAAAAGGCCAGAGTCAACAGAAGTATGATCATTTTTCCAACTCAGAATTTAGTTATTTTATTCTACAAGGAAGGCGGGGATTGAATTTGAAGATGTTATGTCATTTTTGATACAGATAGTAGCTACACTTTGGGAGTGCAATTTTGAAAGGGCATTCGTCCATTCTTAATGGTATTTTCAGAATTGCTGTACAGTTTTGGACAGGAAAAAACCCAAGCTAGTGTTCAAAAGAGACATTCAGAACCCCATGTTATGAGTCCCTTGTCTTAGTGTGAATGAACAGCAGACTTCGATTCAAATTTTACAGGGTATTTTGCCTATGTAACCTTAGAGAAAAGAATATTTTGGGCTAGGCCAGACAAACTGATGGTAATTTACTTTTTATTCACAACATAATGCTATTGTGTAAATACATTTTTGAATATTGCCCATACTACTTATTGCCGATACTACTTTGCCTCTAGCATTCTTAGCACAAACTTCCACTAAAAATTGTTTACTTATAAGCCCCTGTTTTCCTTTTGTTTAAATAACTTCTGTATTTTTTTTATAATCAGCGCCTAATTAGCCTTTGTAGGGAAAATACTCTAAACATAATAAGCATTGCCCAAATATATTTAGAAATAAGTTTTATTTTCTCTTAGCATGGTTTAAATAATATTTAATTAAGCAAGAAAGACTAATGCAGTTCCTGGATATTTTTTCTAATATAAATTCAACCAGAATGCAAACATATAAAATTTTAGGAATATTTTATATGCTGAGGTAATTTGAATTGGAACTTAGTTTAAAAAAATCCAGTCTCTGTCTCTGTCTGTCTGTCTCTCCCTCCCTCCCCCCTTGTCTCTTTGTCATCGCACCATGGCATCATTGTTCAAATGATCTTAAACTACATGCAATACTTGATTTGTGTCATTACAAATCAAATCAATCATTACAAATCAATCAAACATTTCTAATGTTTGATATTATATTGAACTATTTATTTAGAAATGCTTATGCAACACACAAAATGCAATATTAGCTCTTATTTCATTTGGTAGATGTAGCTGATCCTGAGAGGGCAAACAGTTACTGCTGAGTGAGAGCCATAGCAGTTGTGAATTATTAGCAGTTGTGAACTTTCAAAGTTTTCATTTAGACTTTTCAAAAATGTAACATTGGAACAATCATTATCAGGTACTATTTGCATTTTAAAAAGCAGACTCATTTCTGTTTCATAAAGGGCTACCTTGAATGCCAATTTAAGTTTAATTTTGCTGTTCCCAGATCCTAAGTTAACATTTCCTGCTTTCAGTTTGCCATCTTGGCAGAGAAGTACAAAACAACAGTTAGCCTCTTCTTTGGGCCCAGAACACTGAAATTCTTTTCTACTTTATCCAAAGCAGGGAGGTGTCTGAATATATAACTTTCTGGAGTAGCTTTCCTTGCTCCCTTTCCATTCTGAGGAGCCGTTTTGTTTACTGTATGGAAAAAAGAAGACTGGGAACTTTATTTTAATGTCAGAACAGCCTTGCAGAGTAAAGCTTCTAAGTTAAATGTAAACTTTAGAAGAACAAAATCAGTAGCAGTAACCTTATTCTTTCTCTTTTGTTTCTTTCAAATAAATTACCTAACGTATCATAAATTTGTGTGGAATAAAATTGCAGAGTCAATTTTTATAAATAAGAACCGTGGAATGAAAATACTGACTGATAAAATCATTGGAGTACAGGAGTAGCTGGGAAGGATTTCTGGCTTGTATCTGTTTGTCACTATCTCAGTTATAGTTTCACCCAGCTCTCTAATAAAGAAAGATGTGCAGAGAATTATGTTTCCTTTCCATTTAAGCAAACATCTTCTGAACACTTCCTAAGAAATTAATTGTATTCCAGCCAGACTTGCCTGCTGCCATCCCACAGGAAATGGGTCAGCAATCCATTAAGATGCCATTAGATAATCTAATTTGGAACTTAATCTCTAAATTAACCATGCTCTATACTTGAAGCATACTTGAGAGGAAGAAAAAGAAAAAGTTCATTTGAATCGATAGGGAAGCCGAAGCGTGAAGACGGCTGTTTGTTTTTTCTGTAGCTGTGGTCACGTCTCAAGCAGTCTGGTAACCAGGAGAAACCAGACATGATGTAATTCCAGATTGAACTTGAACTTCAGGGACTGAGAATGGGAAAACAATAGACCTTAGGAATCAATAATGTCCATTTTCCACATGATTATGTTTGGCACTTTAAATTAACATTTATGGAAAAAGCAGCAAAACTCTACAATATGACCAACATGAGGTGCAGTGGGGAATCCAAAAAGGGAAAGAAAGAAAACAATTTCTTCAACTGTATTTTGTGAAACAAGAGATTCCAATAGAGTAAACTAGTTGTTTGTTCTGAGCACCCTTTTGTTCTCTTAGGTAGGATAAACTTAATCCTATGTTTCCTGTTAGATGATTTTGGCGGTGCTTTTAGGAAAGGAGGAGCATGTTTTGAAAGTGCTCTCAGCTGTGAAGTGGACTGTTAACTCCTTGTTGATCAAAATGTATATACTCAATTTTAGTCTGTGTAATGTCTTCAGCTATAAATAAGGGCACAGTTTTTCAGGAGATGTTTCTCTTAACATTTACCAAATAAAATAAATATATGGCAATGATTGGCTACATCAATGCCTGCAAAGTTGTATCATGCAAGACAAATTCCTCGTGTGTCCAATCACACTTGGCCAATAAAGAATTCTATTCTATTCTCTATTGTAAGGCTGCAACAGGTCAGGTCTATTCTATGACCTGCTAAGCATCTCTTGTGAAGGAGTTTAGGAGAAAAATAACCGATGCCTGTATGGTTTTATCTTTTAAGAAATAACTTCTGAAAGGATTGAGATGCAGCAAATTAAAAAAATTAGGAAAAAGAGATTGATATGATACAAAAATAAGCTTTTTGACTGATGTCGCCTGTACTGTATTT